TCTTTACACTGCACCAGCTCTTGCACGTGGTTTCTGTTGAGTGACTCACTCTGCTCTTTCAGCTGCTGGACCACTGTCTTTTGTTCTTCCAGAACCGCCTCTGTGACATCCAGCTTGCTTCGCATCCCCTCTCTCTCGTCAGCCATCTGCTGAAGCTTGGCTCGCAGGTCAATCACTTCCGCCTGCAACCTGGAGACTTCGCTTTGGTTGATGTGCAGCTGCTTTTCAGACACAGCTAGCCTGGAAGCCAGCTCTTGCGCCTCTTTCTCCTGACACGCTGCCTGCTCCAGCTGGGCATTCTCCACTGAGGCCTTCTCGCCAGTAAGGGATTCAATCAATTTTACTTGATGCAGGCATGTTTTTTCCATGTTTAGCTTTTCCACCTCAAGAGACTCTGCTTTTTTTTGGTACCTCTCAATCTCTCCCTGTAGCTGCTTGCATTGGCTCTCTATGTCTTGCAGTGCCAGGTCTTTCTCTGCCACTTGTGACCTCAGAGACTCTTCACATTCCTTCAAGGAAAACAGAACCTTTTCCATCTGCACACCATGCTGTTTGGCTCTCTTGTGCTCGGTTTGCAGTACAGCTAAAGACTCGTTGATGGCATCTTCTCTTTGCCTCAGTTCTTGGTATTCAGAATGCAGACCCTGTAGCTTCTCTTCCAGGATTTGATTTTGCCGCGTGACATTCTGCAAGTCTTCGTGCAACTGTTTGTTCTGCTCCCGGAGCTTTCTCTCTTTTTCATCCACCGAAACCAGGGCGTCGTCAATCTGGCTCTGGAGCTGTTTCTCCGATGCCCTCAGCCTGGCCACCTCAGCTTCCAAAGAGCCTTTAGATGCCTCCAAGTTTTTCTGCTTCTCTTTCATCTTCTCCTTGGTTTGGTGCAGATTTGCGTTCTCAGATTTCAGCTTTTTGCTTTCGTCACCAAGTTCGTTCAGTTCTGCACTTTGCTGCCCTGTGAGCTCCTCCATGTCCTTTACCTTCTGGAGGAGATGACCATTGCTGGAGAGGAGTTTCTGGTTTTGCTCCTCTAGGCTGTGCACATTCTGACTCAGCTTTGATAACTGATCATTCAGCAGCTCGCGCTGCTCTGCCAAGGTTTTGGCTTCTTGCTTCAGTGTCCCTTCCTTGCTGCTCAACTCTTCCTCACACGCCTCTTTTTCTCTTCTGCTCTCTTCAAGATTTTTTTCCAGCGACCCCACACGAGCCAGTGAGCCCTTCAGCTGCACCTGGAGCTCAGCTACCTCCCTCCCCTTGGCAGTCAGTGCCTCCTGGACTGTATCCATTTCTTTTGCCATCATTTCCAGGCTCATGAGCAGTTTCTCATTCTCCTTCTTTGAATCTATGGTAAGGCAATTAAATCTGGATTCTAGTTCTTTCCATGCACCCTCTTTCAGCTGCACTTCCTCTCTCGCGGCCTTGACTTGAGACAGCAGTTCATTATTTTGTTTCTGGATGTCAGCTTTTTCCTTTCCTGCCTGGTGAAGTTTCTCTTGCAATTCCTGGATCTCTAGGGCAGGATCATATTGTGTGGAGGGTTGTTGCCCTTTTTCATCCAAGACAGCATCGACTTTTGCAGTGAGCTCCAGATTCTTTTGCTCCATTGAACTCAGCTTGGTCTGGAGCTCACTGATGCATTGATCCTTCATGCTGATGGAAGCCCTGGTGGTTTCCAGCTCCTGATTCAAGAGCTCCTGATTCAAGGCATAGTTCTTCTTACAGGACTCCAGTTGCTCAAGCCTTGTGTGGTGTTCCTTTTGCTGCTCGTATGCATTCACTTCTAATGCCTGCACGCATTTTCGTAGGTCATGGACAGTGCTCTGAGTGGAGTGGGAAACTTCACACTGTTTCTCTAACTCCATTATCATCTTGGTCAGTCGGAAGTTCTCCTCACTGAAGTTGCTGCTCTTTTCCTTTTCCACTTGCACCAGTTCTTTCTGAAGGCTAATGGCTTCCTGCAGCGCCTGGTTTTCCTTCTCTAGTTGATTAATCCGATCCCGCAGCTCCTTCTGCCTCAGCTCTCCCTGGTCAAGTTCCATGCGCAGCTCTTCAAAGCCCTCCAGATGCTCAGCATTTAGTGAGTTATGTGCATCAGGGCTACAGGGGAACTCTTGTGTCTGGCAGAGAGGGGAGAGGTGAAGAGAGGGAAGAATAAAAAAATTAAATTGGAAATAGTTATATTTATATACATGAAAGATTATGAATAGTCCTTGATCCTGCCGTGAGGGCAGGGAACTGCATTTGATGACCTCTCGAGATCCCTTCCAGTTCTAGTATTCTATGATTCTATAATTCTATAGCTTAATTGTTTTTGTTGATTAAAACATGGAGATGATGATATCAGTAAAAGGAATATTTAAGGGATGCTGTCAAGATAAAAATCAGTGTAAAAAGATCCTAACCCATGCTATTGTTAGTCCTTTTGCTTATTAATGACTTGCATTCATTTATAAGCATTTCTATAAGGATCAGCACTCCTGTGACCGACGTCTTAAAAAAACCTAAAGTTCTAATTTACTTCTATTAGTTATTGATTTACTTTTTGTATATTCTGCTCTTTTGCCAGCAGTGATAGATCAGCTTGTATTCATGGCCCAAGTCAGCAAAGCATTTAGTGCACACATACATCCGGTTGACTTTAATACATAGTTAAAGTGCTTTGCTGTGTTGAGGGTCTTGAATAAACTTCACTTTTTGCTTCTCCAATGCTAGCACAGTGCTGTTGGGTTTAGGATCACAAAACTGCAAAGGGAAAACTTAAGG